AATCACCGTGTTTACACAGGTTTTTTGGTCCAATTTTAGCTAAACACACAACTTACAATCTTTTGAATATTTATAACTTTCCTGTGTTGTTGTGGACGCAGCTTCCACATTTAAAAATTTCAACATTCTAAACTTGTCATCTCTTGTCGTTATATATTGAAAAAAGTCAGTACTCGGTAAAGTAAAAATCAAGAATCGAGATGGGTAAAACGAGATAAGGAGAATCTTAAGTACACGGACGCAATCTCAAATTTATCATTCCAAATAAGCAAGCAGGAAACAAAAGAGATAAAGGAAAGAAAAGATAATCAGGAAAGAAAGATACAGGAGAAGAAAAGAGACAATTTGAGTATGTGCAGTGGGTAGGCTATCGGCGCGGCAGCAGCTTGTCGCATTTTATGTACGAGGAGACTCTTAACTTCTGGTTAAATGGTAGCATAAATGGCAGTGTGGCTATGTAACAGGTGAGAAGGGCCGCAAAGAGGCTGGTTTCCGATGTTACCTCTCACAAAAATAAAGAAGCCGAATTCCAAAGCAGTGGTTGTCCGACTGCGATTCCCCCACCTGGCACGCAAGGAGATCGCAGCCAGCTGCGCGTACGTATGCACGTACGTCAGTGCGTTTATCCCGTAGCGCCGTAATTACGCCTAATCCGTCTGATGCGCGCCCTCATATTAACAATTTAATCGCCGCGACATCATATGGGCGCGTGTGGGAAAATCACTGCGGAATTAGGCTTCACGCGAAGTCGTACATCAATTCGAATTAACAGCTATTCCCGAGTAACGTTACATAACGCATCAATTCTCATTTAAATAATAGCCGACGAGCAATTCGGCGTAAGATTCTTTAAGCCCTTAATTCTTGAATGATGTCACGTCAGGAATCAAATTATATAGCTTATGCACAGATCATAAAAATTATGTTGTAATTCGGATGAATGTCTATTCTAGCACTCAATGCGATCTCACACAACTGTTATATCGATTCAGATGTGTTTTGACACAAATCTGTCGTTTTGAATATTGTATCTGATGTGATGTGATTACGTAAAGAGCACAGATGAAACGAAATCCTGAGTGGCATCGACACTTTCTTCGCGCGCAAGCTGGATAATTTTGGAAAATCTCCTTTTTCGAAAACACTTCCACCGGACTTCTTCCTGTTCCGTACGGAATGCCTGACCGTGCCTTAAATGATCATCCAGTGTCATTAGTATTCCGGCGAAAGATTGTCTCTTTTAGGAGGTGCGTTTATGGGATCGAGGATCGAGGATGAACGACGTCAGCGAGGATGAGCTTTCATCGAACACAGGAGGGATTCTAAAAATGAGAAAAGGAATTTTGGAACAAATAGAAATGCGTCGGCTTACATGCCATTTGAGAGATATAAAAATAATTCACATTCTACAATTTCATTTCCGATATCGAATTGAAGAAATCTTCTGTGTCCAGTTGACGCAGAAAATTTGAATAAAGTATTTGTTTTTTTTTCTATTTTTAACACTTCTCTCAATACTCATTGACTTTTTTTCAATCTGATAATTGGATTCGAAGCGTCATGCCGGTTCTGCTACGCGCTTTTACCTGAGAATGACGCGCAGTAAAATAGAGGATGAGATTGCATCATTTAGTGGAAAAAAAAATTGACGAATCTGAGTTTTGCTGCCACGTCTCTCGACAAGGTTTCACGTTGCCGTCTAATGAGATCGGCGATCGCGATTGAGAGGGAACGACGGTGCAAAAGCATCGGACGGGATCTGGATCGCCATCGCGAACAGGTGAGATTTAAAAAAGAACGCCGGAGAATTTCGGAGTGGATGCTGGTGGAGCACGATAACGAATGAGAAGTCTTTTTTTTTTTGGTTACTCCTGTGCCTGCACTCTCCTGCGTGATATCTTGATTCCTCGTTCGCCCTACAACGCTTGAATACACTTGTTTCGGATATCCTTTTACCTGCTTCCTAACCGCATTTCCCCTCTACACCTGTTTTCTTTTTCATCCCCTTTCACTTTCTCGAAGCGTAATTCTTATTTGGAATGCATAAAAGCAATTTGTTAAGCAATACAAATATACCAGAAGTCAATTCTCTTAATGCAGAGTAACTTTAATTAAATTAATTAAACCGTCTCGCTGCTGCAAAGCTTAAAAAAAACGTACCTCTTTAATTTTAGAAAGTGCAAGCGAAATGAACGTATCTATTTTAAATGCAGCGAGTGTAATGCGGTGAAAAGAGCATTTCTCTATTGTCAAGACTCAATTTTCTAATCCGATCGATAATCAAAAATTTGATCAATAATTTTATATCGATCTAACTTTCTTTCACAAGTTGAAATTGCGGTCGGATGCTTCTTTCGCGATAATAGGATCCACAAACAGCATTCAAGCGAGATTTCGAGCGACCCAAAGCAAAAAAAAAGCAAAGAAGCTCACTGGTGTATAATCGTGCGATCGATCCGGCCGGAATTGAGATCATTCCCGGCCAGGTGCGCTCGTTCATTTTCACTTACCCTTTTTTTTCTCCCGATCTGGTCGCGCGATCAAGTCGACGCCGAAAGAATCGTTCGCGTCGTTCCTCCTTACGAATGCAATTCCGGAAAGTCCCAAACGGGGCACTCGCGCGTCGGTGCTACGTGAAGCAAGTCCCCGAGCGAGGCGGCGCTGGGCCGCGCTGGTCCTTTGTAGTCCACAGGGGCCCTGCGTTTCTCTCTTCTCACTATTTTCTCCCCGCCGATTTCCTCGTCGCGTTACTTCATGTTCACGTTCACCTTTTTAACGCGAACGATGGCATCCGATATCCCAGCGTTACGTGCGAACGCAGGGAACGACGACGACGCGACGCGACGAAAAGTCTGACGACGAGATCGCTGGCTGTAGCCGCTTGGCGTTTACCGGCAGCGACACTGGAATGCAGACCGACAGGTTTTGAATCGAGACCGAGCGCAGCAGCGACTTGTGGAGGGATGCTGCAGCGGTAGTGGTGGTAGTGGTATAGTAGGCGCCATTAATGTCTTGCACTTCCAATTTAGGATTTTTGCTCCCTACAGATTTGTTAGTCGACCTTTTAATAAATTAAGAAGCTATTTCAGTAATTCTGGACTTCTTAATCAATTATCGTAAACAGATATTATCGTTGATCTGAAAATAATTAAATATCAATATATAAAGCCTGTAAGAAACGTAAAATGCAGTTGTTCGTGCGATAAATTCTAAAATTTTAATAAAAATCACATTTTTGTGATTATGTTTTACGTTAAAGATCTATTTTAAATTATCTTCTACATTACAGAGTTATTTTAATATTATTTTTTATGTTAAAGAACTGATTTATTCTATTTGACAAAAATTTCTAACCGGAAGTGTAAAGTATTAATAACACCCAGTAAGAGGAAGTTACGTGTTCGAATTTAAGACTTATCCTCACTTTGACTGCACTTTCTTACCACTCCTTACCCCTTTCATACACAAGTGAAACAAGTAGATATGCCAGCGATAGAGAAAAGAGAGAAGCCAGATGTAGAAGGTGTAACTGAAGCTCGAAGGGTCTTTTGTGTTGATGAGGTTGGTACTTGCTGTCACAAGCTGATTAAGCGCACACGCGCGTTTTACAATATGCTTTCAACACAACTGCAACATAAATAAATAAATATAACATACAAAATGCAAAAATCAATATATAATAAAGTATACTATAGAAATATTATATTTAATACATTTATAAGTATGTATAAAATTATGTATATCTATTATTAATCTGTATGCACATTTATTTCAAGTATACTGTGATGTTTAAATTTGTGTACAGCATGCGCATACAGAAACAGCGCATGTCAGAGCACTGATAAGTTTCAAATTAGGGCCAGATTCCGGCCAGATGTAATGTAATTGCAGAAGTAATTGCGAAAAAGCTTCTATTTAAATAAAAAAAATTTTTTTTAATGTTATTTTGTAATTATTTGTATCTTTTTCTTTATGAACCAAAACCCAGAACACATATTTTGTTTTTATTTTAATTGAAAAGAAATAATTCAGATCTTATTTATAACAACATATTCTCAGATTTGGTTTATTATATGATTTCATATTCATACACACATTCACTTTATGCAATGTTCTCTGAATCATCTTTTTCCAAAAAAAGTGTGATAACCTTTTAACCTAATCAAATCTGAGATTTTTAAATTGATTTCTTCAAAATGTATTAAGCATAATATAATCAAATACATAAAACAAACAAAATAATTTTGCTATTGACACACATACATAAATGATTACTTCTTAAATTATGTTTGGCTACTAAGATATTTAACTTATATCACTTGTAGCAAAGTTTTTAAGTTTCACAAACATGTTTACT